AAAAAAAAAAAAAAAAAACGATCTTTTTCTCTCTTATTCAGCAACTCTTGAATATGGATGCTAAAGGGTGTGATGGTGATTTATCGGTGAAAAAAGGCTTCTACAACAATTGCAAAAACCGTTTGGCGTCAGTATCGACGATTCAGACACATATACACCCATATCAAATATAAAGAGTTACGAAAGTTTTTTTGATAACCGAAAGTGTTTCCCGTTTTTTTTTTTTTTCCTTTTCCAGTTCTTTACTATTTCATAATTCATTTTATTTTTTGACCAATTTTCAGTAAACACACAAAATTGGAACTATCAAGACAGATAACGACTGATATTTGCTTATTCATCTATCACCCTTCTACGAATCTACTCCAGCAGTAATCCGTCAATGCGTTGGAAAAATCTTTGTTCAATAATCATCGATTTGTTTGGTGACCTTTACAACAGCCATGATGCTTTAAAAATCGCAAAAAACCTCGATAATGGCGAAAAAATAACAGATGAAAAGAAGAAGGGAAAGGAAAAAGTAGAGATCAAAAAAGATAGATGAGAAAAAGAAACGGTTGAAAGAAAAAAAAAACGTGGAGAAAAGAACAAAATTTATAGTGTGTGGAAAATACCTTTTGTTATTTCTTCTTTTCAATTTTTTTTTTTTAGCTTATACCTTTTTTACCATGTCAATTTTAAGCTTTAACCTTAGCAGTTTTATTTATCACTTTTGCTGTCGTTTCAGCGTTTGCTGAGTCGATGCCAATGTTGATGGCACAGCAAAAGTTTTCCGGTCTGCTAATAGACGCAAAAAAGTGGCCAAAAAATTGAAACTTTTTATTAGCCGTTTTTGTTGTCTAATAGAACAGCTAATTTTTTAATATAGATTTTATTTGTACAGTAAACTTAGCATAACTGTGGTCAATATAATGCTGCTGCGAAACGTTTGAAAAACAATGATCCAAGTATCAACACATATCAACTGTTTGTCGATCTTCGATTAAGTGCTTTGAACGTTTTTTTAGCATTCAAAAAAAAGGTTTTGAAACATATAAAGATGGAAAAAAAAAAGAGAAGAAAATTTTTTTTTATTTTTATTTTTATTTTTTTTTTTTACGGAGAAGAAGGTGAAAGAATTAAAGAAGATAATGGAATTTGCTGTATCGGTTGTTGTCGGTTGGTGATTCACGCAAACGGTGTTGGAAAAAAGTGTCTGTGCTTGAAACAAAGCAGGCGTCATTCGGGAGAACCAAAACTGATATGATGATGACGGCGATGATGATGATGATGATGATGATGATGATGATGATGATGACCATCATCACCATCATCATCAGCTTCAACGTCATACACTGCCGTTGTTGGTGGTGATGCTGATTAATAATTTACATCCGATTTATCAAATGCATTTTTTCCATTTTAGTATTTTATAAATTAGAAAAAATATGAACAGAATATGAAAAACAACTTAACTAATGTTGGCTACAGTTTTACTAAATTTGCTGTTAATTCTCTTAGGAATTACATTAATTAAATTTATTTTGTTTATTGGTAAATATTTCTTCGTTTCTTTTGAAAAATTTTCGTTAGTTACTGTGTCATTTATAGGTTATATGCCTTATTCACATGCTTAAATCAGTATCAGCAGACAAAGCACTGTGAGTTTTGTACCTGTTTGTTTAAGTGGTCAAGTAATTTCTCTGATAACAATTACTGATTTATCAGCTGTCAATCAACCAAAAAAAAATGGTAATTTTTTGAATGACTGAACTAGATAGTACATTAGTCAGCCAGTTGTTTTAAATGCCAACTACAGTTTACAGATCTTTTGCAATACATGTAAATTTATTATGATTGTTTTCGTGATAAATAACAGGTAAATGTTGATTATTAAACTTGATTCAGAAAAATTTCATTGTAAGGGAGAGTTAGAATATAAATGCTGTAAAAGTGAGATGATAAAGCAACAATAAAACCAAAAAAAAAAGCTTCGTTTAGCTATCATAATGACTTGTTTAGGCTTTACTAACAGGTTTTTTAAGAATTGTACAGAAACCCAGAAAAATTTGGTAATCAATTTCTCAAGGTCATTTATAGAAAAGGGTCATTATGCCAAAGTTTTAAAGTTCTTTCGGTGAAAAAAGTTCAAAATTTAGAGTTGAGCTTTGTTTTTTTGTAATTGTCTAGTATATTTACCCAATGCAAACCCTGATAATTGGGAGTTACCAGACGTCATCACCAAAGAAACTGCGAATAAAACAAAATGATATTGTAAACAGTAGTGACAGTTTTTATTGAAAGTTTAATTCTTAAATTTATATCAATCGTAGACTGTAACGATAATTTGTTACAACTATAGTTTATCAGTTCTTTGAGACCAAAAAAATTTATCAAAATTGAAAAAGAAAATGACAGAAATAATTTAGGGCTTAAAATTTACCTGAAAGATTACCAAAACATGTCATGTTTTTATTGTTGATGAACAATTTTGCTAATTCAAGTGCAAATTTCTTGTTGTTTCTTCTCTAAATCACCTTAATGATCACAAATAATAAAGCTTATAAAAACAGAAAACGTTTCAGTGAAAAAAAAAAAAGTCTCAGTTTTGCTTACCGCAGTAAACTAATAAAGAAAAAAAAGAACAAACGAAAAAATATAATGGTAATTGATAAGTGAGATTAACATTGTTTTCAGTTGTTCTCTATTAATGTCACAAAAAAAACCGTTGCAAAAAAAGGCTTCAAAAGACCAGAAAGTAGAATAACAGATAAAAAACTGAAGATATACCGGTGAAAATGTCACATTTTTTTCTTTTGTACAGCAGTTTTTTTGTGAGACGTGTTAAGAACGTACAAGAAAACTCGGACAGAAATAATTTCAGTTGTTTATTTGCTGAGCAGTGAACGTTGAAATACCAAAGTTAACAAAATCTGTAACAATTAATTATCACTACGAAACATACCGATTCAACATTGGTCCATAGCGATTGACCAAATGAATTTTGTAACGACAGTTCGGTTCTGGAAATCGACCCACTGGCAGTTCAACAGTTTCAATATCTGGCATATACTCGGTATTCGCGAGACTTCTGGCTGTACCGAATTTGACAACTGCCAGAATTGGCAGAATAGTAGCCAGTAATCTCAACATTGCAAAAAATATCTTTTTCACTTTTAAAAAATAAAAAAATTTTTCTAAATCAAAAGAAACTTTGATTTAAGACCTGTTCAACTGCAAACTGCACATTAACGGTTGATCAAATTTTATGATTTACCAGGGAAATTACAAGAGTTTTTCCTTTTTATCTTTTTTTTTCGTCTTGCAGTGAAAAATGGAATCGGTATAGTGGAGAATTAGAAGTCTCTGCAAAACACGACCACTTTCTTTCAGATTTTGAATTGGAGCGTATAAATTTCACATGTTATATGGTTGGCTATTAGTTTTTGGTGCACTTTCTTCAACATTAAACGACGCTAAAAACTCGTTCATCTTATTTCATTTATCTGTA